AAAGTTAGAAACATCCTGTTGCATTTCTTATAGCAGTTACTCATTAACTAGCAAAGGGAGAAATCATTGTATCATTGTCATCGTCGATGCTGCTGCTGAGGTGGCAGTGGTGGCAAAAAAGCTGTAGCAATACAGCTATCCGAACTCATGTGTTTTCTTATCACTTTGATGATTTTTCATGCTTATTATGATAAATCAGGGTTTATCATTATAACAATGTTTATAATAGATTTTGTGCCTGCAATAGCAGGGAGGAAAGAAAATGACGATCAGAGGATTAAAGCAAACCTCTTCATGGAATTATTTATTGATTCATTCATTTATTTCGAGATACAGTATAGACCACCCTATAGTGCTTAGAGCAGTCGCTGGGTAGCTTGCCGTATAATTATACAAAGAACACTTTGCCCCCCCCCCAAGCAACCTGGGTTACTCATTTTGCCAACCTTGAGCCAGCAACCTGAACCATCGGAATTGAACTCAGGTCATGAGAAGAGGCTCAACTGCAGTATATGATATAATAGTTATTATATTAAATATAATATTATTAATTTAATATTATTTCATTTAATATTTAATATTAAATTCCAGAAGGAACATTATTATTAGTCGTAAAGCCTATGCAGTTTTAAAGATTAGACTGTATTATTTGGTACCAGTTGTACAATAGTATTAACACTGCTAGATAATTGCTTTGATTTAGCCATGCTTTTCTACTTCTTTAAGTTATGTTATAGATTTTCTACTGATTTTTATTTAGGTAACAAAACAACCATTATTTTGACTGATAAATACCATCCACCTTTAATTTTGCTGTTATAACTGCAAAATTATCCCTTAATTGTTTCTGGAATGTAAAAGTCTTCCCATCTCTTGTCTTCCAAAAATTTAGAAAATGCAGAAGTTTCCCTTTCACTGTTTGTTTTCCATTGTAATTTATTTGTTGGAGGAGGAATCACAAAAGTGGTTTTTCCATAAATATGTTGCATTTTGTATTAAACACAACATTTTATGTGAAACCACAGTATTTTGTGCAACATGCTACATTTTTTTGCTAACACAGAATAAACAACAACAAAAAACACCTGATCTTTTTACTGTCATACAAGGACAACAAAAATATGTGGCAGTGATTGATAATTGTTTTTATAGGATATCTTGGCATGTTGTGCTTATTTAGTGGAGAAGCAAAATATTTAGGAAAGTTTCTTATATCCTTAGTGCAAAGAGTGATTGCCTATAACAAGGTTCCCTGGGTGTGGAAACGTCTGCATTTCCTCCTCCATGGACTGTGGAAGGAGACGGAGCCATCCAGTATTAGAGATGGGAAAGCAAAAAAATAAAAAATAATAAAAAAAAAAACTTCAAAGTCTCCACCATGAGATAATGAGATCATTTCTGGCAGATCTCACACAAAATTGTGCGAATTTGCAAGGCTGATTTTTTTTTTGCACATTTCTGTAAATATGCACAATGCAGAACTATGATAATCGCTCCCTTGTTGCAAAGAGAGGAGAAATATGGAATGGCTTGTTTATATTTTTCTTTTCCTGCTCAATTTGTATGTGGTTCGCGTCACAAAGAGGAAATGCACGAGAGATATTTTGCATACATTGTGCATACCACAACAGGAGGGCCATGCCCTTGTTCTCTTCGTCTTGTGCTGGAGGCAAGATCTCTCACAGAATACTGTGCAATCATTGACAGACTGCCTCACCACGCCGATAGAGTGTGTCTCAGTCCTTAATGAGACTCTGGAAACATTTCTCAACATCCCTAATTTTAATTGTAGATTCTATTGGCGCAGAGCTAACTTTCATGCCACTGGAATGAATGGCATGACACTTATTTACAGGGATTTTAGTGCTCTGTTGTGCGCTCCATGTAAATGTTGGACTGCTTTGTGAAGGTTACAGCTTAAGACAGGGGTTTCTTCCACACACTTTTAACTGTCTTAAATTTGGATGACTCCCTTTAAACTTTGATACAAATAATTCTGATACACCTACTATTCCCATTTGACTTTTTGTTTTCTGTAGCATCTGCTGGTGTTTGACAGTAAGACAATGCCAAACATACGTGTCTTCAGCATGAATTCTCATGGATCACTACATAGAGATTTATTTCTGAGCAGATGTGCCTGCTAACATAATGGAATCCAGTGGTTCCAAGAAGAGAACAGGCACTCAAATGGGCACACAGTAACGACATCCTTGACCCATCTTATTATCTTTGTGGAAAGCAATTTATTTTTCTGTGAAATCTAAGAATTAGCTACATCTTCAGAGCAAGCCCCAAGAGTTTAGCTCCTAATCATATTTGTTATCCCTCAGCAGACCCCATAATAAACCTTCTTTAGAACTTGCAGTTCAGTACACAAGTGTTTGGCTTCTTTCAGATGGTCACCACCAAGTCCCCTAACTTTAGAAAAGTTGCAACCATTGTGCTTTAAAGTATTTGACAAGTCTTAATATTTCTCTCCTGTTCTATCAGAGACACTATCACCACAATGCTATACAGCCACTGACTTTCCCACCCACCAACCATGATCTCTGTATTTTACAGTATATACACATTGTGATGCCATGTATAAATATTTGCCATGTTGAATCTCTTTCTCTTATGTCTGATGACATGGACTTGTCCACAAAAGCTCACATTAAAAAATACAATATATTTCTATGTTCCTTTTTTTACCTATAATCCCTATTCTTTGTTGTCCTTATAAATGATAAACTCTAGCTGCTTAGAAATTATCTCAGTTCCGGGATAATTACACCAACTAACCAAACAGAATAATGTAGGTGGAGGGTCCAGGCTCTGGTAATTCTTCACATTTTGGTTGTGTGGAAGGCCTGTCATGGATCACCCAAAATGAATTGTGCCTCCTCACCCTTTTTTTAAAAAAGTATTTATTTAAGGACAGGGTAGGGAATACAAAAAGTAAGGGGGAATAGGGAAGAGGGGAAAAGGGTTAGGGGGATAGGAAAACACAGAGTATACCATCAACCAATCAATTCATATTACAATAACAAATCAACTTTTTGCTTTTTCACAGTTTGATTACCCTCCTGCTTTTATCTTATAATTTAATTTTAGTTTAATTCTATGTTACTCCAACACTATCTGGTAACTGCAGCCATTTATACAATACATCCCATTGTTCAGTTTCCTTTTGAACTGAACAATCTTTAAGCCCATCTGACAGAATATTC